TTGTTTCTAAGAAAAAAACAAAAATACATACTTAATAAATCTTGGCCGGATTTTTTAAATAATAAAATGAACTAAAGTCCGAAATTTAAGGTAGTATTTAAAGTTGTATGATTTTAAGGAAAAAAATAAAAAAAATAAAAAAACTTACTATTTATAGGTTGTATTAAATTCTGACCTATTTTTTTGCTACTATTTTTGATAAATGATTATATATATATATATATATATATATATATAAATGAGGATGCCACACTCTCTCCCATTGGACGGGTTAAATTTTCTAAATCTTGCCCTGCTACTTATTTACTAGATTCCTAAATGTTAATCATTATTCTTAAAAGTATAAATGACCCGAGTCGTATCAAGTTTGAACTTTTGATACTTTTTATCGAGTCGATAAACGAGCTTCAATTTAGCTCCTTAATCAATATTAATAAGCTAAATCATTTATAATTGAACTGAAGTCTTAACGAGCCACGCTATAAAACATTACAAAAATCCTTATTTTCGAGTTTGAAGAATAAGCTCGAACTCAATAAACAAACTTAGCCATTAATGAGTTAAACTATACAAAATTATTATTTTTGGAGTTTTAACGATCTCGAACTCGATAAACGAAACTAGTTGACCTCAAGAGCCACCCGTTTAATTTTAATACCTCTAATAATTGTCCTTAGTTAAGAAAATATCATTATATGGAATAAATTTGAAAATGACATATAGCCGATAGCAACCCGATAGCCTATCATTTACATACATATTAGACAACTAAATATTAAAAAGTATAAACTATATAATGTGAACATATATCAATTATCAAGCCCCCAAAAAAATGAGAACAACAAAAAAGAACAAGATTTAACGGGTGCGTGAAATAGAAGGCACACGATTTAAAGCCCGTAGAGACATCATCATCCTCCAAGATCGAATAATTCAAAATTTCATCCACAAGTAAAAGAGATTAACTACAGTAAACATTTGTTGCTTTCTGCTGCAACAATCACAACATCTTCTTTTAATTTCCATGATAACCAATTTGATTGTGTGAGGATTATAACTTTTCACAATTTATTTATCAGACAATTTAAGACCTATCATATCTTTTTAATGAAGACTTATGCAATGAAATGTCATGCTTTTCTTTAATTTAAATTTTTGGAATATGACATTTTAATTTAAACTGAACTGTCATGTTTTTGTTTAATTTAAATTTTTTAAATATGACATTTTAATTTAAAAATATGCATAAATGTTGAAAGCTATGACCGAGAGCAACATTTGTTGGATTTTAAACGAACCTAGCAGCGTACGCGCAACGGAATTCGGTATGATCCAGCTATAGCTATTGGATATGATCCTAGATCGCGTGAATAATTAACGAAAACTTACAGTTGTTCGTCTATGTCCTCGACTATAGTATCCACGTAATCCAGTTTTCTGGTGCACGATCTACCGCCAATAAATCCCTTCCGGTGAAGAAGTTGGGAATCCTCGACCCGAAAAGCTAGAGAGTGTTTTGTTGATGGTGATCTCTAAAACTCTAAGATGTGATCTCTCAAAGTGTTTCTCAAGACGATCTTTTGTTTTCACTTACAATCAAAAGACTACAATAAGATAATAACATATTTATAATTATGTCAAACTTAATCATATGGGCTTTAGGAGACCATAAAGTCATGTAATTGGATCTAATCCAATTAATAATTTAATAAAGTATAAATCTAATTTAACTTAATTAAATATTTTTCATCAAATAGAAAATAATCTCGTTATTCATAAATAAATATTCCAATCTAACTGGTTATTTAACTATTAAATTGCAAACAATTAAATATTCCAATCTAACTGGTTAGTTAACTATTAAATATTCCAATAAAAAATTGTCACACATATACCAACAAACATTACTTTATCATATAATATTTTAATTGACGAGTATGTAGTAGTACTATTTAACCTTGACTTTAATATTTCTTTTTTTACTAAGAAGGAATTTTACTACACTGACATTAATTAATAGGACCGACTGGCCCTTTGACCAGAATTATAAAAGCTGTAAAAGAGAGCAATTTACGCCACATTTAAATTGAAAATGTAACTTTATTACCTGATGATAGGATTTGCTTTTTTACAGTTGTTAGGGGGTTTTAGAATAGGGAAGTGAAATTTTGATAAGAAGTTTGGGTGCCCCAACAATATCTGATGCATCTGATTGATTGATACTAAGAAACCGCTGTCTGCAAGCAAAGTTACAGCGGTCATTTACAGTTTGCTTTTTTGCAGTCTTTGTGTAATCTTATTTTGCTTTGTCTTACTAATTGCACACTTTTGAAGTTTGACCAAACCAATTTTATTTATTCATTAATTAGTACAACACTGTGTATTATATAGGTGCCTATTACAAAATTTATTCTTAAGTTTTTAAAATTAATGAGAAAAAGTGTTTTTAAATTTAAATATTTTTTGCAATCAATATATCCAAAAATTTTATGGAGTCATTAAATGGTTTTCTTATGAAACCATTCATCACTTAATATATTGACACATTATGTCCAAAATGTAATTATTGCAGGACACCCGTGTCAATTTGTGAATAAGTGTGGATGGCTGCATAAGTCGAGTCATCCGATGGCTCCATAGCAAAACTGTCAATATATCTCTTTATATATAATTCTCGAATGTGTTAAACCTAAGAGCATCCACAATATTTTGAGTTCAATCACAAAAAATTATATATCATCTAATAAATAGACCTAGTCTAAAAAAATGTATTCTCCAATGCAAACAAAAGTAGACTGAGTCCTGCTGATGTGACAGCCAGAAAAAAAGACTCGGTCTATCCTTAAGTCTATTTTAGACCAAAGTAGAGACCTAGCCTCTTTGAATTGGAGTGAATTTTATCAATTTTACATATTTTTATACATGTCATCCAAGACTTGAGTTTATTTACATGTCATATAGGCAAAACTAGACATGATGCATTGTAGATGCTCATAAGTGATAGGCTCTTTGGCGAGATTTCATGGTTCATTATTTGGTTTGGATATATTTTAATTTACATCCAATCCAAAAATAATTAGGTCCGGATTATCCATAAATATATTAGTTACTTATGGTCATTTTAGATGTATATTATTTCCTATATAACCATTGAATTGTAAATGTATTTTAAAAGTTAATAACTTTTGTATTTTTTATCAGTTTTATATATATCAGATTAATCATCTCTTGATGAACTTATATTCGACATCCATATGGTATGCATTATCTTTATAATAATACTATTATTATTAATTGATGTTAACTAGAAAATATAAAATTATTTATCGATTAATATATTTATGTTTGAAGTAGTTATATGGTATAAATTAAAAAAAAAATTATTATAATATAATATAGGTAAATCCCATAAGTAACAAGTGTGATCCTAATGGAGAAAAAATAATTTAAATAAAAGTTATTTTCATTGAAATGGAGAAAAAAAAAATATAAGTTTCGTGCCGGCCAATGATTGTTATTTTCATTGAGATGGAGAAAAAAATAATTTAAATAAAATGGATGCCCAAGCGGGCAAGCCTATATACATACAACACCAACTACAAACACCAGTCGTGTACTCCACTACTTGTGACACACTGTCTGTTTCTACTCTATTAATTTTCCAGTATCACGATTGAATAATCACTACATTACAACTAAAGATTAATTCCTCAATAGTTTCTTATACTTTATGAGGTTTTCTATTAAAATAAATGTGTTCAATTAATCCTGCAGATCGTTTGGATTAACCAAGTATTATTTAAAAAAAAAAAAACAAGTGTATTATTTTTTGGGTTGAAACTGCTTAGACATACAATTAAATAACTAAGTGTCGGGCTCCCATGGCTCAATTGGCTGGCACAAAGAATCTTTGACATGTTTTTTCCTATTTAAATTAACTAAAAAAAGGTCTTAAACTTAACCAATCAGCCAAAACCTGTCTTGTTATTTGCACCCTACAACATGAAATTCATTTTCCAAGAATAGAATGACAAGTATAAACACTATTTTTTCCATAATCTTTGTTTGTTTTCGTAAATCTTGATTTAATAACTCAACGTGACAGGCTAAAGTTTACTTTGAGACTTTTTCAATAGCATAATTTTATTTTTCGCAAAGTTGTACAAAAGATAAGAAAAGAAAAAATAAAAAAATTGTTCCGTCCAAGGAACAAAATTATATTTAGATAAAATTATGTGCTGATTTAAATTCTTTTCTTCGCCTGGTGAAAGATGCCAATGAATATAATCCAACGATTGCAGATGCGCCATTAACCACCATTTTGTTGTACTTGTCTAATTTCTTCTTTGTTCTGATTCTTGTGGTCACACACACATTAAGGGATCTTTTTTATTTATTTATTTATCAATAACAATAAAATAAAAATGAATTATATGCTTGGCTAAATACCTTTTATTTATCAATAAAAATAAAATAAAAATGAATTATATGCTTGGCTAAATACCACATTTAAGGGATCTGTTTCCTTTTTCCTTGGATGCTTCTTCCTTTCATTTGTTCTTTTTAGTTTGATTATTTGCATCCTTCTTTTTCCTTGCCAAAAATCAATTGTGTTTTTAGTTGAGATAAGCTTTAGATTCTGGCAATAATCAATGCCAATGCCTTTTTGTGTTAAAATGATTGCTTCGATCAAAATCTATGCTATTTCACCCAAAAGTTGAAAGACGAGAAAAAAAAAAATATTGAAATTTTTGGGGCACATAGTAGAAAACAAAAAGGAACATTTAATATATTTTTAAACTTATTTAATGTAAATCTATTGAGCTAACAAGTACTTAGAGTTGTAAGGCCAACTCGAATTCGGAAGTTCCAGTCCTCGGAGTTAAAATTCAAGCGTTTAATCAAGCTAAATTTAACAAAATGAGCTGATAAACGAACTCTAGTCTTAATAAATTAAACTATAAAAAATTACAAAAAAAAAAAAAAAAAAAAAAAAAATNAAAATCTATTATCGAGCCTTATAACTCAGACTTATGAGCAAGCGGCTCGTCTTTATGTAATTTATCTCCAGAGAACTTATCGAACTAATTAACACATGACCAAGATTCAGAAACTAACGGTGGTAGAACTAAATCAAAGACAGACACTTGAATTCTAAAGTTTGATATTCTCCTCTCTTGGGAAATTTTAGATTCCGTGCATTACAAGTGAAATGGTCTTAAAAAACTCATAATTTGACAACAATAAAAAGGCCTTTGATACATGAAACGCTAATTATTTAACTTGGGGACTAATTACTTCCTGATCCAAGTCATTACACATAATCTCAGTGAGCCCACTCGAACACGACCCAATTTGAGGCAATGAAACCCCCAAATCCTCAGTTTTGTTGCTCTTAACACCATTTCTTGATTTCGTTTTCCTTTGGTACACACGGCAAGCAACCCAGTCTCCTACTTGCACCATTATTTTCTGCCAAATTATAAAATAAAACTCAATAATCAACTAACATGTATATATATGTAGTTTTTTTTTTTAATTGCAGCTTACAAATAATTAAATACAATGATAGGTACGTACCTGATTCAGGTATGGCGTGCTGATAGAGCCGACGATGCAAAATTCTTGCAAAACCCATTCAGACTTGAGCCCACCAGAGTTTTTCTTTGCTTGATGAAAAACATATGATTTCCTGATCCCAATTACGAGGTTATTACCCAAAATTTGCTTCTCTTTGTTAGACCCTTTCCAGTGGCCACAGCCCGTGCTGAAATTGCTACTGCATTTGCTCATGAAATTCATCTTCTTTTTGCAGAAAAAGTATCTCTTATCCCTCAAGCAACCTTAATTAGTCAAAAAAGAGACACCACAATATTATTAGTTTCTTTTTTTCATATTCGTATCTGAAAAGAAGGATTACATATGAATATGATACTGAATTTTGTGACAAATGATTGAAAACTCTTACTGACACCAACCGCCCTATATAGTATATAGAACTTAATAATGATAATATGAAATCATAAAAAGTTNNNNCAAAATGACAACCAAGCTGGCCGCCTATACAGCACAAATTAGAAATTAAAAGCATGGAACATAGCTCAATAGTTCTAAATCTGGTAAATGAAGCTATACAGGGCCAAATATTAATTCATTTTCCTTCACTAAAAGGAGCATCATAATAAGGAATTTAGGCCACAAATTGAAAAGCAAATGTAAGAAATCAACTACCAGGCAAGTCCCATGGATTGAGGTGAAAAACATCGAGGTCAGGAATAACAGAGACTGGCAATGGCTGTGAAAAAACCTTCCTTTTCAAGTAATGAACCAAAAGCTCCTCATCTGTGGGCTGAAATCTGAACCCAATTGGAAGCTTATAAACAATCCCATTCTTTTCCTGTTCAAAACTTGCTCTTTCCATCTTGACTAACAAAAACAGAAAACGGAAATAAAATGAAAACTGGGAAGAAGGGAAATGAAGATTAATAAATCTAGGACTGCAATTTAAGGAGCAAATTGAGGTTTTTATGCCTTTTTGTTTTAAGAAAGAAGAAAGCAGGGGTATTTATTGTGCAGTTGAAAAGAAAATGGAAAAGAAAAGAGAAAAAGGGGTTTACATAGTACATCCCCATTCGGACGCCAAAAAGAAAAACTCCTTTCAAAATGAAGTGCGTGTGTGTGTGTGTGGTAGCTTTTACTTTTTTATTAAATTAAAAAAATAGATTGTTAGTAGTATAAATAAAAATTGAGACGTGTAAACACGAGAATTGAATTGAATTGAATTGAATTAATAAGGGCTCAACAGCTCATGTGTGCTTGGTGGTTTGAGTCGGCTTTGGATGGCTCTTGGTAGAGGCGTATGGCTTACACCTTCCATTTTGGTTTCGATATTTTACTTGTGTTTATCTGTACAGTTTTAAGTTAAATCAAAAATCGGATAAACAAGGATGTTTTCTGACTTTTATTAAACTACCACCTACAGCCTGGATTTTTAAATTAATGCAACACAAAACTAAACTTGTTACATTTAGAGTTTTAGACGTAATACTAGTGATCTTATACATAAAAATCTTATATTTATTACTTTATGTATAAAAGAATATTTTTAAAGTTGCTATAATAAAAGAATATTATCATATTGGTACGTTGATTGTGATAATCATTCACTTAAAACAAACAAATTATCTAGTAAGTCTCTATCTTTTGCATTTAGACATGGTCATTTGTCTGTTAAGTGAACCAACGATTACAAAATANAGAATTGTCGGTTCGAGTTCAGAGTCAATTCAACAATTTAAAAATTATAGATATGTAACCAAGAATCGCGATCAAACCACCAACTCGTTATAGTGCCTGTTGATCAGAACCGGCAGCCTAGCCTTGCCCGTGGCCATGTTTATTTGCATTAACTAATTCAAAGTGTAATCAAATAGCAGGACTTGACTTTACTATTTAAATGTTCATTCCAGAACACAGTTTCGAAATAATTAACAAATGTTATTTCAAGTAATATAATAGCCTACTTTATGAGTTACTATTCTTTTCTTCATTCTACTCAATAAGACAAAAACTTCATCACTATCCAAACTTTTGTTAATCATCAATATTAACAAATCATTCATTAAGCTCACTTGTTTTTAGCAAGGTCATAATTTTTTTAGAACCCAACACCTATATGTGTGTGCGTTCTTATGGACACATTAATTGCTTTATTTTTGTTTATAATTAATTTTTTTCTCAAAGAGTTGAACACAGTTGTTTGGTCATTTTGTGTAGAAAACTAGAAATTGTCCCCTCGATATTGACACAACAGTGGTGGTCCAACAAGAGTCACTCTTTACCACGCAAAACTCCAATTATGCATTTTTTTTTAATTAATCATATATATTTCAAATTGGCAAGTAATTCATGAGCTATTTATGCATCTGTATTCAAGTCCAACTACTTGTGCAAAATTTGAACTTGATTTTGCGTTTTATATTGAATTGATTTTAAATTGAACTAAATATCATGACGGTACAAGAAAAGATATCAATGCAAATAGCTTCACCAGTTCACATAATCAAACTTTAAAAAAGAAAATATTGCATGTTGGCTATCATGCCTACTTGCTACTCTGCTAGTCAAATATATAAATATATATTTAACTGTAATTTCAGTATGCAATGTGGTTCTTTAAAGTAAAAATAAACTAATTATTTGACTTATTTTTATTTCACAATATATATTTGTACCCATATCGACCTTTGTTTGAGACGACTTCATTGTCCACTAGCTAAGTTATGGGCCTAAAACAAAGAATTGGGCTGAGGTGGGCCTCTAGAAGAGCCAGTACACGAACATTGTCAACTTAGTTATATAGGCCGAAAAGAAACTCATTGCGTATCCAGAGCAATAGGTTTCGACCAATTAGTCTGCTACTGCTAACAATTATAATTCAAATTGTGCACAATAATGGCTGTTATTTATATACTAGTACTGGCCCGTGCGATGCACGGGGTGCACAATTTTAAAGCTATTTATTCAGGCTTATAATTATATACATGAATAAAGAAAAATGTACGGGATATATATAGTACGTGACCCGTGCGAATCACGATATATATTTATTTGGAGAATATTATATTATAAGATGCAATATTCAATAAAAATTTATAATACGCAAGAAAATTGTACAATGTTCAATAAAAGTTTTATAATATTCAAATGGAGTCTTAAAGTCTCTTGTACATTAAGACTACTGACAAAATAATATTTAATCAATGAGTTTCCTTTCCTTGTAGCCAAATTGTGAATGTGATTTGAGGAGTACAACAAATCGATATATAGCTGACTTGCTTTTTTCATTGTAGTTTTTTTTCTTTTCTTTTTTTATAATGAATTTAAAGTTATTCTAAAATATAGCAAAAATTAATTTTTTTTATTACAATTAGAAATTTTACTAAATATAAACTCTCAATTTATGGTGTTAATCAACGTTTAAGTCTAAAAAATTAGGAATTTTTACCTCTTTTAATCAACGTTTAAGTCTAAAAAACAATAGAGTTATTATAAGTTTTTTTTT